CAGCCGGGTTCCGCCGCAGCATGCGGCTGTGCCGCAGGAGGTCCCGCGCCAGCCCGCAGCCCTGCTACGCCCAGTGCCCCGGCAGCTGCTGCCCCGCTCCCGCCGCGTAGCCGTCCGACAGGAACAGGCTCATTATACTCGTCGGTAAGAGCTTCGTCACTTTCTTGTGCGAGTGTCACAGCCTGGAGCAGGTTGTGGTCCCAGCCGCTGAGGTTTCCTGCTGCTGCCTGCAGGGATTGCAGACTTTTTAGGTAGCTCTCAAAGCAACATTTCAAGAATGAGTGTCTCGAATTTGACACGTTTGTTTCTTTTAAAGTTTATATATAATCTTCTTTGCTTGAGATAGTGAATGTTTAAAAACAAGTCCTTAGAAGAAGCCATACAATTGAGTGCTGGTTCATAATGGATTTTATTAGGGGAACGGTTCAGTCCTATGTTCAGTGGGGACTAGTAGAGAAAGTGATGAGAAACCATTTGTAACTTACTGGAAAACATCTTTATGTGGAGGCATTTCTACAGCCAATGTTAAATACATGGCTATGGCAATGGTAAAAAGAATGTTTAAACTCCAGACTAGAAAAATCTCAATCATGGGCCGCAGGGAAAGTTAAAAAGATGCTTCTAATAATGCTTGGTATAGGAAATACTGTATTAAGTTTGCTGTAGGCTCTCAAGTAGTCTGCAGTGATAGTGACTGCAAGGAATTTGTTCTGCAGTGTTCCATGATCCTGATAAAGCAAACTGGGTAAAGGCAAATCCATTGTCCTTTTTAAGTCTAGAAGTAATTCATGGTCATTTTTATTTTAAAATGGTATTGCTGAGTTTCCTCTTGGGTATGACTATATTGCTGGGAAGCGATTTGTATCCTGCATCAATCCAGATGCTTCAGGAGCTTCTGGTACATTTTTGGGGAACTTATTTACATTTCCTTGTGTTTGTGCCGTGTGTTAGAAAACGGGGGTGTGCATGGGAGCAGTGCCTCTGGCAGTAACACTGGCTGGTTTCCCAACTTCTCAGGTCCTGCAGGAGTTGGTGTGAATGAGCTAAGACGAAGGCTCATTGCAAGCAACCCCCGAGAATTCCAAAGTGCCATACCTCGTATGTAACGTTCCTTTCCCCTGCTACCTCCCTCAAACGTGGTTAGGAAGTGTCAGGTACCTCCCTCTTGCCTTTGTGTACTCATACACTCTTTGCTCTATGGGTTTTTTCAGTGGTACTGCAAGCCAGAGTCATTTGCTTTTATAAGGATTAGTTTAAAATAACTGCCTTTCTCCTTGTTTTAGCATGTCAGCCAAAGGTATTTTCAAGTTACACCTCCTGAAACCCTTAAAGCTTTATGTATAAGTGGATTAGTTGCATGATTTTTTTTTTTCTTGATGTTTGCTTTTTCTAAATTTAAAAATAGGAATGTTTCTTATGGATATTTTAAGTTTATAGTGGTTAAGTGATCAGATAGGAGAATGAAAGCAACAGAAGTGGTGCTTAATAGGATTTGCAGCTTTCCTTATTAACCTTCTAGTCTCAGATGAGATTTACGCAACTTAATTTCTGATGTAATAACTGAAACTGTTTCTGCCTGTGCTATTGGGCTCATTTTATTTTCTATGAAAATACTTAATGAAGTTCCTTCATGAAAGTAGTCTCATTTTCATCTATGAACTTACAAGAATTTACTTGCCACTGAATTATTTGTGTGTTTATCTCCTTTCAGATACCACTCGTGTTCAGAAGAGTTATGAAATGAATGGTCGTGAATATCACTATGTATCAAAAGAAACTTTTGAAAACATGGTGTACAGCCACAGGTAAGTAAGAGAGACAAATTACACTTTTGTTACTTAAAATGTAATGTGATCCAAGAAAAGAGACACTTGTAGTTAGGTCCCAAGCATGGGCTCCTCCACTCATACTTACTATGTATGTTTGGTGTAAATTTGGGTCAAACTACTTGAACCCATTGCTTCAAAAACTGTGTTTGTGCAGTTCCAAATAAACTCCTCTAGAATTAATCTCAAAATCCATCTAAAACAAAGTAGAATCTCCAGTCCTGAGATCATTTGATGTGCTTCTAATTATGAGTTTCACTCTCCTGGAAACCAGACTGGTTTCTAAAGTTGAGTGAGTCAGACCTGTTCCTGATCTACAGCTCCACTGCAGAAGTTCTGCAGTGATGACATCTCCACATAAGCAACTGAACTGCAAAGGCAAAATGTTCAGAAGTGTCTGCACCTTTCCATGCATCGTTAATCCCTCTAGGACAGACCAGCTCAGCACCTGAAACTACACTACTTGAGCTGTGCCAAGTGCTTTGAGGTCCAATTTATGAAGTTATTTGTCCTATAGAAATGAAAAGCATTTTATCATTAGAATCAAGCTGTAAACACATAATTTATAACACGATGAGTAAAAAAAATGCTTTGGAGAAGTCAAACTGCAATGGTTCTGACTTTGTGCCCAGTGTAGTGGGAAGAGCAAAGGTGAAGGTTTTTTGTCAGTGTTCAATATGTTTTATGATCATTCAGTCTTGATCACTGGATTACAATTGAAGATTTTGCCCTTAAATGGAACCTTTCTGAGATTAAAGTGCTCCTTTGTTTTTCTTCTTTCTGACTGCTCTTGCAGAATGCTGGAATATGGGGAATATAAAGGGTACCTGTATGGCACTAGTATTGATGCAGTGCGAACAGTCCTCGATGAAGGGAAGATCTGTGTAATAGACTTGGAACCACAGGTAAGTTGTAAGGAGCAGGGAATCTAGAGTTCTGTCTCATGGAAGAAAAAGTAATTCTTTGTACGTTCCTGAGCTATTGGAATAATGTTAGTTGCCCTGTCTTGTTTTTCAGTTTAGCTCACAGAGCTTATTAATAGATTATTCTTTGCATGGGTCTTGGGGGGGGATAATAAAGTGACAAGTATGTACAGATCAGTATAGTTAAATTGTTTCCAGCTGCTTTATCAGAATGGTACAGAAACGATTTTCATACTTGCTTAAAGCAAGGATTAATATTTCACATGGAGACTGGCATGGGGCTTCCTCCTCCTTGCCCTTTTAATTGAGAGCTCTGTCCTTCCATTAGCAATCTTTGAACACCCTTTGGTAAAAGCAGCAACTATTAAGCAAAAGCAAGGAATTCTAGGATGCTTTTACTTATTCCCAGCTGTTAAGCTACTTCTGAAGATAAGCAGCTGGCACATGTGTCCAAAGAGCTCTACAAGTACCTCCAGTGTAGACCAAGAACATAAGAAGTGTACAACCACCACAGCAAGTGGTTGTAAACCAGTGCTGAGCTAGGGACCAGTCTGTAAATGTTTACTATGAGAGTAAAGGGCAGCTTGCACATAGGCCCTAGCAGATATTGGCAAGAGGTGCTTCAAATATTAGGGTGATTACCACATATTTCTATGCTGGCCATTGTAAAAAAAACTTTGAATGCTATCTTTGTATTATTCTGTGTTTTTTTTTTCTTAATTACTTTTATTACCTCTGAGACTTCCAGAACTATTCACCATGCTAATCTTTTCACTTAGACACGATCCACTTTATTCCTTTTATCTTTGCATTGAATTTACTGATGAAAATAAGGCTAATAAAGGTCTGAGTTTGTAATTATCTAAGAGACTTAAAGCTGTGTCCAGCAAAACCTTAAACTTCTCTCGATTTCTTGCATATTTAGTACTCAGGAGCTGTTTACTCTTCAGTAACTGCTGGGAGGTGAATTACTGCCAGGTTGCATACTTGTATTTAAATCTGGTGGCTTGGCCAACTTTACACACTGTGCTTCCTCCCCCCTCCCCCTTTTTTTTTTTCTAGGTCCCTCCACTGCTCTGCAGTAGTTCAAAAGTGCTTACTAGCATCAGAGAATTGTTACACAGCACAAAGATTCCCAAAAGCAGGATACTTCATTCCAGTATTGAGCAGCAAAGTTGTACTTTTCCCAAAAGTAGCTCCCCAGCACTTTAAAACAAAACAAAACCAAACAGATTCATCTTCACTATTGTTAATTGTAGAGATCTGTTAATGAACATGTCCAGTCACTCACTGCAGTTGAAAGCATCTCTTAATAAGGTTACCAAGCAGAATTAAGTGATTGACATGCTACAGTTGCTTAATAATGTCTGGTAACAGGATTATTAGTGAAGTTATTTTAAGGTAGGTGTTCCTGAAAAGGATTACTTCTAGCCCTGGAAATAACAGCAAGTTGTAAACAATTGCCTTTTTATGGGAAGAATATATTTTTAATAGTTTAAATTCTTTTTACTCTTAATTTGCAGGGCATACAAATAGCCCGGACTCATGAATTAAAGCCCTACATTATATTCATCAAACCATCCAGCATAAGCTGCATGAGACAGACTCGTAAAAATGCCAGGATCATTACAGATTATTATGTGAACATGAAATTCAAGGTGAGATTTGGGATTAGAAGAGACTGAAGTTCTTATTCTGAGATTCTGTGTTTAGAACATCATGCATTTTACTATCTGAAAGATTGTGTCCTTAAAAACAAATTAAGTTATTCCATTCTTTTTCTATTTGGATTGTTGGGATTTTCTCCTCCAGATTTGCTTTGAAGTGGAAGGGTTATAATTTGTACCATGGGGATTTTGAGGCATTTTCCTTCAAACAAGAGGCTGTTCTGTATATTTTTGTTTTAATCAACTGCCTTGTGATATGATCTGAGTCAACACATACATTTACTGTTTGCACTTGCACTGAAATACCTGGAATGTGCTTCATTTAGGAATTTAATCAAATATTTCTTCATGTAGTTGTAAGAATCTATTATTTCACACATGCTCAATGACAGTATAAGTATCAATGCTACACTAAATTCTATAGTGAAAATACTAATCCTGCTTGTAATAAATGCAATATCTTGTTTACAATGTGTCTATAATGTATTGTCACAATTGTTTCCATGCAAATAATAATCAAGTTTAGCATCTTAAAATTTTGGAGACCTCAGTCCATAACTGTATGTGGAAATGAATCACAATTGCTGTGGCAAAAAGAAACATGAACATTGGGGAAATAAACTAAAATGTGGCATGAGAACACAAGTGTTGGTGGATTTGCCTTCCAGTCTCTAACATACTCTGCTAGCACTTCTCAGCAGAATAACCTTTTTTTGGGTAAGTGGCATGTACTGAGAGCCAAGGTGTTCCCCTGGGAAGGATATAGCAGTCAGCTCTGTTTCAGAGACTTGGGACTGGCTGTAGCAGGTGTACTTTGCTATGGCAAACTGTAAAGAAATAAAGTACACTGGTGCTATCTACTTACCTCTTGTTTACATGGTGCAAGGTGTTCTGCAGATGCCATGCAGGTATGTTTCTCTACACAACACCAAAGCTTTATAGACTTGCTCTGTCTCGCAGGAAGAAGACTTACAGGAGATGGAAGACTCAGCTAAGAAGATGGAAGCTCAGTTTGGTCAGTTCTTTGATCACGTGATTGTGAATGACAATTTACAGGAAGCATCTGCGCAGCTGCTGTCCGCAGTCCATCGGGCACAGGATGAGCCCCAGTGGGTCCCTGCAGGATGGATATGCTCAGATACTCAGCCCTAATTCTGAGCAGCAGACAGCTTCAGAAAGATTACAGCTTGTTTTACTTCAAGAATAATCCTCATGTCAGGATGGCAAGAATTTATCCTTGTATGTGAGGGATTTGGAAGAGGATTAGGAAAGAAGCTGTAATCATACTAATGTTCTGTGTAGCTCTTCAGCTTTTTATGTTACAGTTGCATCCACTTTTGTATGAAATATTGTGAGTGCTCAATTACAAGAATAAAAAAAAATCTATTTTGTTGCATGTATCTGTGTAATTCACTCATACATAATATGGAAAAGTCCTTTCCTTTCTCTTTATTCTGGTCATTCTGACCCTGTGATAGCTCTGCTTTCTGGAAGCCTTACTGACAAACGATATTCAGTCCAGAGCTCTTTTAGCATGCTGTCTTTGAGCAAAGAGTGGTATTGATGAAGGTATGGGTTTGCTGCTTATGCTTTTTACCTTTTAACACAGGAGCAGGGTGATGGTGTCAGAATAAAAATTACTCTAGAAAGTAGTTATCTTCACAACAGATGTAGCACATCTTTTCTTTTGGTCCATCATCTTGAAGTGACTAAACTGACAGAACAACAGACTGAATATGGACTTACCAAAGAGGAAAATAAAATCAGAAGCTCCTTTTACTGTTGGTTTCCTCAATGGTAGCATGTTCTCCTCATCTAATGGTGCAGTGCTTTTGACAAACAGATTCCCCACTCTCTTTGCCTTGTTGCAGCTGCCTTGCCCCCTCAGGAACACAGATGATTATTCTGTTGGCCTGTCTCACCTTGCAGGGCAGTCAACAAACAGTACAGATTCTTCAAATATTACAGTTACCAGCATGCCTGCTAGTTCTTGTCAGGCCTACTGACATTCCTAGTTTAGAGATAAAACTGGAGAGACCGGAGTCCCAACATGTCACCGGTAGGGGGTAAGTCCAGCGTAGAGGGTGAGACTCGTGCCAGCTCCTCACTTCTGCTGCCTAGTCCAGCATTTGTCCGCTCTTTCTCCTTGCTTATTTTTTGTTTGTTTTCATGTGTTTGCTGACAGACAGATCTGCATTCACTATTAGAAAAGAAAGGTGCTGTCATTAGAGTTGCATTTGCTACATGTCCATTTGTGCTGGAACAAAATTTTATCACATTTATTTTCTGCTATTTTTTTGTTCTGTTTATGACTCCGCTTTGCAAATTGTCTATGGCTACACGCGAGAGGAGGCTACGAACCTTGTTTCACTGAGGCATTTGTTCACTTTGGATTTGAATGGACAGACAGTTCTCTGTGCAACCTGAGCAGGGGTTAGACCCAATGGGCCGCCAGGGTCCCTTCTAAGTTAAATTGTTCTTATTTTTAAAAGGCAGTTGTGTAAAATGTGGCTACATTCCAGTTGTATTTTCATTTTGATGTTTCTCTCTCGGCTTCCTCAACATGAAGCCTAACCTGAGCAGGGGTTAGACCCAATGGGCCGCCAGGGTCCCTTCTAAGTTAAATTGTTCTTATTTTAAAAGGCAGGTGTGTAAAATGTGGCTGCATTCCAGTTGTATTTTAATGTTGATGTTTCCCTCTCGGCTTTCTCAAAATGAAGCCTGGTGGTATTAATTTGAAAAATGTCTTTCTGCAGGCGCGCTCCCGCCTGGGTGAAGCCCATTGCGGTGCCCCACGGGACCCGCGACCTACTGCTTCTCGAGCAACTCCTCTGGGATTTGTTATGTCTCCGTTCTGTCTCCGCTTCCCGCCACCTCCCCCTCGCTCCCTTGACTGGGGCCCGGGCCGCCATGCCGGGCTCG